TCTTTTCCGTTTGCTATAGCACTTTAAAGATTTTAGGGGGAGATTTTTTTTCTATTCTTTCTTTTTGGAGGCTTTTTTCTGGCTTGGGGGGGGGGGAGGAGGGATGTCGGAAGCATTATGGTCCATAAAGGACCAAAAACCGTCATTCCCCTCATCCCTTTCATTACCCAGGCCCGCCATAACTCACCGGCTTCCACTCAGCCTGCACAATACGTTTGGCAAACACTGGGGCTGTCTGGATTACAGGACGGAGGTCCGAGTGGTCTCCGGGCTGGACTGAACGGACCATAACCATGGTGGGAGAGGGAGAGGTGGGAGAGAGAGAGAGAGAGAGAGAGAGAGAGAGAGAGAGAGAGAGAGAGAGAGAGAGAGAGAGAGAGAGAGAGTATTACAAATCTACAGTGTGTGTGGAAGAGGGAAGCAATCACAAAGGTTTTCATTTCAAAACAATTTAAGATTAGACAACTCATTGAAAGGGACAGCAAGCCACAGAATATTGAGACAAATTATACACGAGTTCCTTCCCATTCCTTCAAACCTTGATCCCCCTATTGCATGTATTAGTTATTGATACATTAAATTATGGTATTTTTTTCTTCTATTTGGCTTTAAGTACAGCAAATGAAATGTTTACTAAATGAATTCAACAAAATTCTTTCTGCTTTGTTACGGACAAAGTAGTTTTTTTTTTTTTAAAGTAAGGGCTTGTAGACATGGGAAAATATTTTAAAGTAGTTTTTTTTTTTTTGTTCGTTTGTTTTTTGTTTGTTTGTTTGTTTGTTTTTTTTTGGGGGGATGCCCTTCCAATGTTGGACTTTCCTTTTCGGATCATTCTGCAATAAAACAACCTGTCCTTTATCTTTCTATCTGTCTGGATTGCTTTGGTTCCAAGCCAGGTTTCTATGTCATTTCCATCTTGTGACAGATTCCCCTCTTCCTCTCCTACCTTCTATCTTTGCTTCCAGAGTCATGTTTATCGAGTGAATCATGGCGTACGACAAACTCGTTCAGGGGAAATAATCACGTTAGCTGAAGGACGAACCTATATATTCTGCAGTTACTGCCCTTGTTTTGGCTCGGCACGAGGAACCGAGAAATTATGATGACGATGCTCTGTTAGTATTGTGCTGGGCAACTGAGTGGACGGGGCTGGTTTAAATCCTTCTATGAGGCAGTAGCTGATACATGTAGTGACGGTTCTCTTGGATAACTAATTCCTTGTTTCTTTGTTTAGGAAGCAGCATCCCTGCATTCCGGACATGTCCATTGATGATGCTCCGTTGCTCTCATCAAAATGTCGCTGAGGGTCTTTCTACTGATTGTGCTGTGCATATCTGGTTAAACGTTCGTTTGTTCTTTCGTGCAAGGATGCCAGGTTTTCCGCTTACTTTTTGTATTGCCAAAACCATCATCCTCTCCACGGTAGTACAATTAACTGGCCTCTGCCTCCCTATATTCCTCTTCAATCAGGAGGCGAGAGAGACATTTCAGGATCTCGAAATTGTCTGGTTGAACCGAGCTGTCAACTGAGGTGGTCTCACCAGCCAGTCTGTAGGCCTTTTCATTTCCCGTAATGCCTGCATGGCCAGGGCAGAAAATCCAAGTGAGCGTTCGTATTTGCGTTGCTTGGAACAGTTGATTCTATTCTGGTCTCAGGAAACCTTTTTCTATCCTTCTAAGGGTACACATGGAATCCATTCTGGTCTCAGGAAACCTTCTAAGGGTACACATGGAATCTGCGCTGAGAAAACTGAGTTACCTTTTTGCAATGACTGAAGTGGTGGTTATGGTTTGAATGCTTTTATGAGATAGCATATACTGTTGTGAGTAAACTGATGCTTCCGTGAGTTGAGCGATACATTTCATAGGCAACTGAAGGTTTTAGAAGACAGCAAATATATTTGTGAGATAATTGATACCTCTATGAGATAATTAACGCAGTATTTGGGAAAGATGCTATGAGATAACTGATGATTCTATGGGACAACTGATGATTCTATGGAATAATTCAAGTTTCTATCGGATAATTGATGATTCTATGGGATAATTCATGATTCCTTTGAAGAACTGATAATTCTCTGGGATAATTGATGATTCTGCGGGATAACTGATACCTGTATGAGCCTACCTGGGATTCTTTTTAAATTGATACCTCTACGAGATAACAGATGGCTCTATGAGATTATTTCGCTCTCTCTTCCTCTCCCTCCCCCCTCTCTCTCCCTCCCCCCCTCTCTCTTCCTC